CAACCATGTTGGGGCTAAACTCAAATTTTCACACTCCAAAATACAACTATTCATGTATTTTCAGGACTCAAAATTTTTTTTCCTCCAACCTTGTAGACTCATAATTTGAGTCCGCAACTTTATTAAATTGTTTAAGAATGATTAACCCCTAAATTTTGTTTCTTGTTAATTTTTCTTGACATTATTTTTGTTTCAACACTCGTGATTTAATTTTCTAAACATTTTAACCTAAAAAAAATAAAATTCCAAAACATAATTGAATTTCACTTAAAAAATAAAAATAAATACAATACCATACGTATGCCCGGAATAATTCGAACTCTTCATTGAATTATGTAAGTGTGTTTAAATTATCTAAGCATTTTTAAATAAACGACAATCATTAAATTTTGCCGTTGAGATTGCTTAAAATTAATCATGATTATTGATTACAAATATAGTTGTTGGAATATTTAAAAAAAAACAAAAAACAAAACAAAACAAAACAAACCAGCAATATCAGATTTTTAGCACAAAGTTGCTGCCCAAACAATGTAACCAAAATTGGGCCCAGCAAACATTGTGCAGCACATGGGTACGGGGGAGAGATAATCGAGGAGGACCTTGACCAACATATAATACAAACAAGAGGTGATTGAGATGACTCGGCAAGTTGGCTTCATAAACATGGAAATATCTACTGAAATTCATCTCGTTTAATGTGTATCTTAATCACCAATATTGATCTAACGGCTGTCAAGATTTTCATTTTTTATTTAATGACACACATTATTGAAAGGAGCCATGTGATTTAGTACCATTATTATTCACAATATCCCACGCATTTCCATTTCTTTTTTTTTTGTCCAACACGCATTTCCAATTCGAAAAAACAAAGAAAGAAATAGGATGTGTTGGGTTGGCCATGCGATGGCCGTGCATCTCCCGCTCACCTTCCCCGACCCGCTACCATTCAATTAACCCATGCGATTGCCATCTCCGTTTGTCAGTGTACGAGACAGATGCATTGAACTAAAAACTCGCGAGCGCGAGGTACAGATATTCATCTATTTTTTATGGCATTGATGAAATAATAATTATATATCCCATGGATGAAGTTTTGAAGACTGAACCAAAAGATAACTATCAACATAGAAAATATCTGCCCTTTATATACATTCAGAATTTGAACTCTTCGACCCAAAATAAATAAATAATTGAACTCATAGAATTTTATTTTATTTTGGATAAGGATTGAACTCATACGTTGGCAGCGATAATAGTTAGGATCCTTTGTTTTAAAACAAAGAATAATAAAATGGGATTGCTTGCTTCAAGGGAGCCATGTGATTTAGCGGATGGTGGGGTAGATATGGCATACTAAAAGCCAAAAAGAGTTCAAATTCTGAATGTATATAAAGGGCAGATATTTTCTATGTTGATAGTTATCCTGTGGTTCAGTCGTGCAATCCAATGGTTCAAAACTTCGTCCATGGGATATATAATTATTATTTCATCAATGCCATAAAAAATAGATGAATATCTGTACCTCACGCTCGTGAGATTTTAGTTCAATGCATCTGTCTCGTACACTGACAGACGGAGATGGCAATCGCATGGGTTAATTGAATGGTAGTGGGTCGGGGAAGGTGAGCGGGAGTTGCACGGCCATCGCATGGCCAACTCAACTCATCCTATTTCTTTGTTTGTTTTTTCGAATTGGAAATGTGTGTTCGACCAAAATAAATAATAAATAATAAATAAACAAATGGAAATGCGTGGGATATTGTAAATAATAATGATCTCCTTCCTTTTTTGAAATGGTGGGTAGGGTACGGTTTAGGGTTGGTTTGTATAATAGGAGGCGAGAGAGAGCATGGCCCAACCCACCGACACTTAATTTTTTGCCTCCATTATCTCCCAACCGTCTGTTCTCCCCTTCCTCTTCATTATCTTTCCTCAGCTGGAACCCTCACGATCTCTCTCCCTCCTCTCCTCCCCTCCATTGCCTCTCTTTTGCTCTCCCTGTACCTTCACGAAGCACCCACCCTTCACCAACCACCAGAACCCTCTCGATTATCTCCTCCCTTTGCTCTCCTTCGCTCTCCCAACCAAGCCTCGATTATATCTCCCAACCGTCTGTTCTCCCCTACCTCTCCATATATTTCCTCTGCCAGAACCCTCACGATCTCTCTCCCTCCTCTCTTCTCCCTTTCCTTTCTTTTGATCTCCCTTGTATCTCCTTTGCTATCCGTTGTCTCTTCACAATCTGTCCATATCTTTGCTGTTTGCGCTCATTATCTCCCCAAATGCTTCTGTTGATTCTCCGGAGGAGGAGGAGGCCCAGAGCTTGGATCTGACGGTTCGTAATTTATTTCAATTTCAATTTTATTTCTTCCGTAATAAAATTCTGGATCTGACGGTTGGAGTTTTTTTTGAAATTTTCATTCAATTTCTTCCTTTAAAAAAAATATGGTTGACATATTTAGTTTTTTCAAATTTCATTATTCATTTATTAAAAAAATCCTGCTGGGCCATTTCTTTGGGCCATTTTCACCGGAGTCCCGTAGGGCTCAATATCAGCAATCATATTTTTATATTAATTTTTTCTAGGGTTTTATCCCTATATAAAGCCTTTGAACTGAGTCAGTTCAGTTCAAAGTGCTGTCTAAACCCTAAACATCTAAAACCATGGAACTTACACTTTCATACCGTTATGTTTGCTTTTGCGGGTTGAGATTTAGTGATAGGCGCAATCTTCTCACACATTCTGGCATCTCTTGTTTGACAGATTGCCCTCTTTTTCAGAGAGGTGGCGACGGTAAATTTTTTTTGCCGATTTTGTGGGATGTGCTGGCCAGATCTGGCCGCACGGAATAATCACGAAGTTGAACATTTCAGCGATAAGTTCGATGTTTCTTGCTTCCTTATTTCTGATAATTGCCTCAACCTGTCCCTCAATGATCGGGTAAACCCTAAATTCTTAACTACTGTTAGCTTTAGTATTAACCTGAAAATCAATTGAAGCCTTTTAACTACTGTTAGCTTTAGGTCTGATTTCAAATTCATTTCTAACGCCTTTTAATGGTCCGATTTCATCTTTTATATAGAACAATATATCATGTAAGAAGGATTTGCTTTCTTGGATTGAAAGTGTCCCAGATGGATTTGTTCTAGCTGACTTGGCTGATGTGTATGTGAATTTTGTAATTCATTCATTTTTTTGTGTGATTTGTTTATTGTACAAATTTTTACTATTTGTTTTGTATGTGTAGGAGTTGATACATTCGAAAGAAATCGTTGTACTACATTCTAATGTAGTTGGGGGAAGTGGTCTACGCAATCAAGCAGCTGGAGTTTGATGATGAGCTGAAGAGTCTATTAAAGCAATTTGATGTGCGCAACATAGATGCTGTTAACAAATGTCTAAGAATGCACGGAAGCAAGATAAGGACGGGTTCTTCAAAGAGGCCTGCTGACGCTCCTGAATCCAGGAAGCTAAACAAGAGGTTGAAGGGGGTTAGGTTGTTTTCCTAGTTTCTCTCATGATTACTATATTTCAGTAATTTCCTAAATGTAGAAAAATCATCTTGCATTTGTCATCTCTTTCTGCTTGCAAGTCATTGCAGAAAGCTGAGAGCGTGAATAGATGTACATAGGATGTTTTTTAAGTTTTCCTTAACTTAATCGAAGATTGTTGCAGCCTTGAAAGCTGAGAGCGTGAATAGATGTACAGAGGATGTTTTTTAAGTTTTCTTTAACTTAATCGAAGATTGTTGCAGACTTGAAGGTCATTGCAGAATGCTGAGAGCGTGAATGGATGTACTGATGCATGTTTTTGAACTTGTGAACTTATCTGTGAACTTTTGAACTTGAGGACCTATTGGATCTAGTTTTAGAGAGATTAGAATCGATTTCAGACTCTGGCATTTAGTGTTTGTAAAACATGGAACGGTGATTTTTGATTAAAACTAGAAAATTGAGGAGTATTAAATCTTATATTGTATGAACAGAGCAATATATTTGGTTGGAAGCTGTGTCTATCTTTGTCTAAACGCAAGAGTGCAATGTATTGGTGTCAGGACCATCTACCGTGCACTCAATCTGTCTTGAAAAATCCTCTGTTCAAAATTAAAGGAAAAAGTGTTTACAATACAGTAGGACTAGGTTCTGTATATTTTATTCATAATGTCTGGTATGATTTCAAATCTTCACCTGCATTTAGAGGAAAATTCTTTGTGAGGGATCTATATCATTCTGATCAGTCAAACTTCCACAGCGCTGGGTTGCTCTTTAAAGGAGGCAGTGATATATTCAGCACTTCTAGATGATCCATTTTGTCCAAAATAAAAACCAAGGCTTCCTTGTGCACCATTATGCTCTGAAGACTTAAAAAGACCTTAAGTTTTGATGTTGTTTGCAAAATATATGTCAAAGGGGAACCTAACTTTAAGCTCAGATAAGTTCTTGCAATGAGTACCAGTAACCTTCTTGAATTCAGCGCAAAGACATGGAACCTTCTTGAATTCAGCGCAAAGACATGGAATGGTGTAGCAAAGAATAATAGGAGCCAAAGTCGACACACAGCTCCAATGCTCTTAATTTCTTGACAAAGAAGATACATGGAACTTATATAACGTCATGAATGATAAGGTTCTTGATTTACAATTAAGACTTCCAAGTAAGCGATTCTGTGGGTCTTCAAAAGGATGGTTAATAGTTCTGGAAGAGAACTTCGTCGTGACCTTAATGAATCCATTCTCTATGGTTGACGGATGTAAAGAGAAAGAAAATTCAATCATTCGCCTTCCTCCACTAGCGCGTCTTTATGACTTTAGAGAATCGGATTATCATGTGCGCAAGGCTACAATTTCATCGTGACCTTAATGAATCCATTTTCTATGATTGACGGATGTAAAGAGAGAGAAAATTCAATCATTCGCCTTCCTCCACTAGCATGTCTTTATGACTTTAGAGAATCGGATTATCATGTGCGCAAGGCTACAATTTTAGCAGACCCAATTTTAAATGCACATGATTTTATTGTTACGGTCATATACGGATATTTTTCTAATTTCGTTGTTATCAGACCTGGTAAAGACACAGATTGGTCGCATATTAATTTTAATTTGGAGGATGATTACGAATTCCGACGATTTCATGAAGTTGTTCACCTTGGAGATAAATTTTATTCTGTATATAATGATGATAGAATTTTAAGTTTTGATGCTCGGGATACAATCGTATCTTTTGAAATTATAAGTGAATTGGAAGTAAAGTGGGGAAGCTTGACACCTATGGGGTTCACAATGTCACTCTATCAAGACATATATTGTGGATTCCAATGAGAAAGGGTTTTTGATCGTGAAAAGGTATACAATTTGGAAAGGTATTTGGCCAGATGGGAAGGCTGTCGCATTTAAATTTAAAATTTTCAAACTAAATTTTGATAAGCACGAGTTGAAGAAACCTTGGATGATGGTGCCCTTTTTTTGGGTGATAATTCTTTCATGTTTGTTTTGGCTTCAAAATTGCCAGGATGTCAGCACAATTGCATATACTTCACCTTAGATTATCATTCGTCTTGGATACCTGAACATTTTGGCGTGTATAACATCAAAACTCAAAGCATTTCAAAGCCTTACACAACAACTGCTATGACCTTGTTGGGGAGGACTAAGCGACCAGCAATTTGGGTTATGCCAACTTGTCGACAGTGAAAAGCTCCTTTTGTGTCTTCTTGTTTTTATTGTTAATTTGTGACTTGAATGTCTTTTTGGTTTTTGTTTTCTGTTTCAAACCATTTTCTTTCGTTGAAGCTCCTTCTTGTGCTCTTGTATTTGACGTAGTGTGCTCTTAAGTATTTGCCATATATTTTGTACAATGACCACTTTTGCCATGGCTGAAGGTGGATATATACTCATTTTATATAATTATTTCTTCCATATAGTACATTTTCTAGACCACAATTTCATATTTGAATTAATGTACAAGTCAAAGTATGGTAATATACGTTTTCTCATCATATATATTTGTGTGTTTGTAGATCTTCAAACAAAAATTAAAATTGGAAGTTTTAAGGCACATTACTGGTTTGGTCTAGCTCTATATTGACAGTATTGGGTGTCGAAGAGATGACCATGAGGGGCAAGGGGGGTAGCTTACCACTATGGTAAACTAAAGGGAAATGACCTCCACTACCACCCATTTGCTAATATTAACTAAAAATACCACCCCTTCCCAATTTTTGTAAAACTATAACCTATAAATATAAAATTATTGTCCTCCTATTGCTGATTTATCACAAGTTCATAAATTTTGGTCTCTCTTAGCTCACTCAGCTCTCTCTCTCTCTCTCTCTCTGGCACAGCTCTCTTTCTCTTTGTTATATGTCTATCGCAGCTCTCAATCTCTCTTGGCTCTCTCTCTGTGTAGCACAACTCTCTGTCTCTGTCTTTGCTCTCTCTTGTCTGCTCCGCTTCTTCTCACTTGGACTCACCGACCCAGCACGCCAACTCGCCCAATAGCTCGCCGGCGTTGCAGAGGTCGCTCACTTTTGTAGCTGCCAGCAGGATGAAGAAGGCATTGGGTCTCAAATCGCCTGGTTCGGGCTCCAAGAAAAGTCTTGGGTACGGTGGGTCTGGGTCGGGACCTGGAAAGCCCAAGCGGGTTATGACGGTGGGTGAGCTGATGAGGATCCAAATGGGGATTTCTGACGCTATGGACTCTAGAGTTAGGAGAGCTCTGCTTGGGATTTCTGCTGCTCAGGTGAGCTCAATTTCTGTGCCTTCTTATTTGTGATCTTGGTTGATCTGGTTTGATGGGTTTGATTTTGTTTGGTGGGTAATGCTTGATTTTTATCATAGTGATAATTGTGATGATGGGATGGATATGGAGCTTAATTTTGCTATTGGTTTGGCCAATTTTGGATTTTGGTTTTTCTTACTTTAAAACAAAAATTGTTTCTTCACTAAGTGTAGTTCAATCTGATAAAACTGACAATGCAAAATATTTCACGAATGTTTAATTTCATAATGGGTAATTTCAAACTTTTGTGAATGGTCGTCTGCATTGGAATTGTAATTAATCAAGCCTTGTGTTTGATGTACTCATTACAGGTAGGAAGCTTTTTTGTTTATTTTAAATTTCGGGTATCCATCCCATTTATGAACTTCTGCCAGAAGTAATTAGGTTAATGAATCTAAACTTCATGCCTTTGAATATTCATCCCGTAAAATCTATGTACTTTTGTTGCAGAAGGCTTGATAGTAAATAGAAAATCTATATGCCAGGGGTTTTCTGGCTAGCTAAAAATGTGTGAGAAATGATGAATCTATCTGATTGCACCTTATTTGTTATTTAACATCATATTGATTCTAGTTTGTAACTTTTGTTTTTTTGCTTTTGTTTTCAGTTTTATGATGGTGAAACA